CCCTACAGTTTTACACAGAGCTATTTTCCAGTTGCTGTCATAATTTTTCATCATTAAATTGTTATTTATAAAGCATAATCATAGATGTATGTTTGGAATAAATTGCCGACATCTACAGTATTTGCCAATGATGTTCACCAAGTTTTTGTGAGAAATTGCAGAGCTGTCAGAGTGGCTCAGTGCACCTACAAAACACATCCCGTGATATGTTTTCAAATGGCATAAAGCAGCAAAGGACTAAAGTATAAGGAGCATACAGCATAAGGGAACCATAAACCTGAACCTATTAAAATATCACTGAAATATGAAAAAATCAGCTGGGATTCCTTGACAAATATCTGAAATGAGCGAGGAATGACTACATTAAAGGACAGATAGTAACATTGATTACTGTCCCATACTATGACAGTTTATTGTTGTGCTGAAAGAAATGTGGACAGGATGAGGTGAGTGGGACGAGTTTAATTCAGATGACTGTAAGTCAGTGGACTAGATCACAGAAAAGATCCACCTAATTCAGAGCCACCCAATAGAAATTACATGTTTTGTATTAATAAACAAACAATCATGAACACTTTGAGTATGGGTTAAGCTTCCCAAACATCTCCCTTTGACAAATTACCCTTGGCAGAAAAACTACGGCTTGCAAATGCACGTGGAAAGAAGGTACTCCCTTTGCTGGTGACACCCACTATCTCAGGTATAAATGCAGACCAGGCAGGGCGGAAGTTGGAGCTATGATTCCAGAACAACTGTAAGACCAGCTTTGACCCGAGTCATTCCCTGCCGCCACTATGAGCTGTAGCTCCAAACAGTCCTCTAAAAGCTGCCTGCGAGGGAGCAGTGGTGGCAGTGCTAGCAGCGGTGGTGGTGGAGGGTGCAGTAAGTATTCCTGTACCTCCTCAAGAAGAATCACTTCTAGGACAAGCGGTGGTGGAAGGATTTCTGGCAGCAGTTGTGGTGGAGGAAGTTCCAGGAGCAGCTGTGGTGGGGGAGCTAGTGGTGGTAGTTATGGAAAGATGAGGCGCAGTAGTTATGGAGGAGGAATGAGCGGTGGTAGCTATGGAGGAGGAATGAGTGGTGGTTATTACGGAGGCAGAATGTGCGGTGGCAGTTATGGAGGGGGAATGGGCTGTGGCAGCATGGGAGCAGGCTTTGGATCAGGTGGGAGCGGGTTTGGTGGTGGTTATGGAGGAAGCTTTGCTGGAGGTGGTGGCAGCTTTAGCAGTGGTGGCTTTCGTGGAGGGAATGTGGGAATTCTCTCCAACGACGAAAAGCTGACCATGCAGAGCCTTAATGAACGCCTGGCTTCTTACCTGGATACGGTCAGAAATTTGGAAATGGAAAATGCTCAGCTGGAGCAATTAATCAGGGAGTGGTACCAGAAGCAAGGACCTACTTGTACAAAGGACTACAGCCACTATTATGAAAAAATTGAAGACCTTCAAAATCAGGTAGGATGTTATTTGTCAGAGAAGTTTAAGCATTGACAGGCTTTTGGTGATTAAGTAAAATCTTTGAGGCACTGAGCATGGACACTTCTAAGCTAAGCACCTCTCTGAAAGTGCCTTTTGTGCTTGAAATCCTGCCTTCTGCGCACGCATCCAACTATCTTCAACTAGAGGTGGAGAAACGATGCCCACCCCCTATAGCACTCCCCACAGACCATTCATTGGCAGTGCCTGCAGATTCTCAGAATGCCTGTAGTGGATTTTAGAGCATAGGAAAAAAGGTAACAACAGCCCTCTGCCATGTGCGGTGCCTGACATTTGAGTACAGCCTTTGGCCTGCGGGCACGCAAGGTGAGACAGAGCTATGGCGGTGACACCGAGCCTCTTGATGGGACTCTTGTACTGACAAAACAGTTTTTGCAGTTCTCATGCTATTTTCACACAGATACCTCTCTGTTTTGCACTGTAGATGACCTTTCCAGGCCTCTGTATGTAGGAAATGCTGTTCCCCTCAGACACCTGGGAATTATAACAAGATCGCATTCATATTTCTGTCCCTTGTGCAAACCTGAGAAAATCACTCAGAAAATTTTTCTCAGCATATTGTCTTCTCTTCTAGATTGTGACTGCAGCTGTGGAAACCAACAGGGTACTTTTGGACCTGGATAACACAAGGATGACTGCAGAAGACTTCAGGATAAAGTAAATATCTATTCCTCTTTTCCAGACACCAACTTCCTTTCTCCTACTTTCCTCAATTTAGTTTCATAAATTCATGACATAAACAAATGTCAATCCACAGAGACTAGGGTTCCTCCTGGTTCCATGGCAGCACAACTGAAATAATTTGTAAGACTTCAGAATTCTTCATTGTTTCTATGATGAGCTTCAATGGAAATACTTCTTATGGCTGTGGAGCCAAAGCTTAAAAAAAACTTTATTTTTAAGGAAAGAAAAATTGTGATTTTCTCTCACTGAAAGTCAGATGAAACAGATAGGTGAAACCTGCACAAAGTCTACAGTAAGAAGAGGCAATTTTACATTACCTTATTATTTAATACTAGTATTAAACTTTAAGTAGTGGCTGCTGATTTCATAATTCTGCTGGTTGAGAGATGCTATGTGCTATAAAGTATAGCAACAAAAGCAGACACTGAGATATTGGGATATGTGAACTTTCTCAGAAATAAGGTCAGCAGGAGAAGGGCTGAGAACCCAATACCAGGGCTGACCTTTCTGCACTGTCCTTGGCGCAGGTACGAGACGGAATATGGTCTCCGACAGAACGTGGAGGCTGACATTAACAGCTTGCGACCCTTGCTGGATAATCTGACTCTGGGCAGGTCTGACCTGGAAATGCAATTTGAGTCTCTAAAGGAGGTGATGATTGACCTTAAGAAGAACCATGAGGAGGTAAGAGCCAGCTCCTTGAAATGCAAACTGCAGAGGAAAACAAGAACACTTGCAATATTGGAAATATGGGCAGGTTTCGCAGGTAGCATCCTCTGCTTTAAATAGTCTTCCCTGCGCTGCTAACGTGTGGCAGCTTGGCAAGGGGTCTCCTGAGACAGGCTGGGTGCCAGGCCCAGGCCGTTCCAGGGCATCTCTGAGCACAGTCCCTCTCAACAAGCAACGACTGGGAAGTCAAGGCCAAATAATTGCAACAAGAAAAAACCCCCAGCATACATATATATGTTGTTGGAAGGATTCAGGATGGTTTATAACTTCAGAGCAAGTTAACTGACTTGAAAACTCTTTCGTAAAGTGATTTCACCATTTTTGTTTATTGCCTTGGGCCTGGGTTTTCTCCGCAGGAAATGAAATCGCTGCAAACACAGTCCAGTGGTGATGTGAATGTGGAAGTGAATGCTGCTCCAGGAGAAGATCTGCTGAAAAAACTGAATGATATGAGACAAGAATATGAAAATATTATTCAGAAAAACCGTGAAGAAGTTGAGAGGTGGTATGAAAGCAAGGTAAATAGTTACAATTTGAATGTTCACATGGCGAAAGAAAAACAATACTAACTTTTGGTAAGAACTTCATGTAGATGAATGACACTTTAAACAACAACATCCATTACTTTTAGGATATAATGGTAGAATCCCTTTGATTAAAATAAAGAAAATCACAAGTGGGCTTAAACTGCACTGGCAGAGCCATATAAGCAAGTTTAAACAGCCCCCATATTACAAGTGGCCCTGCTTCAACTTGTGTTGCCAGATGCTTCCATGATAAACTACCATGCTGACATTGTAAGTAACTCAAAACTCCAATTCTGTATATTAATTTTTCAGATGGAGGAAGTGAGTCAACAAGTCCACTCCAGTGGACAGGAGGTGGAATCAAACAACCAACAGGTCTCTGAGCTGAGACGTGTCTATCAGAGCCTGGAAATTGAGCTGCAGTCGCAGATCAGCCTGGTAAGTAGTGATTGCTTCTGATCTTCTGATATGTGAAGAACATGTGAGTTGCTGGAATGACAGGAGATCAGCTATAGCTGGCACTCCATTTAACAAAGATGCTTGGCACATCTGACACCATGTAAGATTCTTCTCATTTTGGGCATAAGAAGGATCTAATCCTGCCCCATTCCCATAAACACTGTATTGTGTTTTCCATTTGCAGGTAGACTCTTTGCAATCCAACTTGGAAGACACAGAACGTCGCTACAACATGCAGCTGCAGCAGATCCAGTGTATGATCGGCCCCTTGGAGGAGGAGCTGGCCAGCATCCGCTGTGAGATGGAGAGTCAGAACCAGGAGTATAAGATGCTCCTGGGCATCAAGACCCGCCTGGAACAGGAGATTGCTCAGTACCGAGCACTGCTTGAGGAAGGGCAGCATGATATTGGGTACGTACATTCCGATTAATTAACATGGCATCTATGCAAACAGGTGAAGATGAAAGCAGAAATATTTATATTAGGAACCTGTGCAATTGATTCAACATCAACATATTTACTACAATCACAAGAATTCATACGGAATCTAAATCTTAGCTGGCAGTGTACAAAGCTGTGTTATTCTACACTTATGAACTGGACAAAAACATTTAGAAAAGTATTTAGAACTATAAAATGCCATTTCTTCTCCTAAGTACAATCTGGAAGTACAGTTTTATATGGAAATGAAAAGTAAGCAAGAAAATAACTGTCTTTTATAAATACTCAGGGTACATATTTTGAAAGACATCTAAAGCTATTCATTATCTTTTTTTTCTTCTTCTGTGCAGATCAGTTAATTGGTCCTTAATTTGGATAGTTTAAAACCAGTTCTCTGGAACATGTTTCACACAACAGTACTTTCTCAGTCATACAAGGAGCTCAGAAGGCATCGGAAAGTGGCCTCAATACAGCTGACAGGATGCCAGGCACTGGTCATGTTTCTATAAATCTTATACATCCATGCCCTTTCCTCCTTACAGCATCTTGCAGGGAGGAGCTGGTGGTGGATCTTCAGGAGGAGGAGGTCATGGAGGAACCAGCTGGTCTTCCGGAAGAGGAAGTAGTGGAGGAGGAAGCAGCTGGTCCTCAGGTGGAGGAAGCAGTGGAGGAAGAACTGGAGGATCCTGCGGAAGAACTTCCTGTTACGGAGGTGGAGGAGGAGGGAGCGAAGGAAAAACAGGAGGTAGAGCCTGTGGTAAAACTTCAGGTGGAGGAGGTGGCAGTGGTGGAGGAGGAGGGGGCAAATCCTGCCTCTCCCACTCTTCATCTTCCCAGTCCCATTCTGGCAACTCTTGTGAAGGCAAAGGTAAAAATTGGAATAAAAGAGTACATCCTTCCATTAACTTTTTTCTCTGAACGGCAGGGAAGGATATGACAACATCCTTCTTTTTTTTTGAAATCTGGAGATATTTTTGCTGTTTTTCCCAATAGTGTTTTAAGTCCACTCTGACATTTGTTCTTATACAGTAACGTACCAACATGGTAGTATTTTCACAAGTGACTCGAATGAAGGGGATATGATGAAGAGTTGTAGAAAGAGGAAATGAAGGAGGAAAAGGAAAAACAATGTCCAATCCAAAGCATGCAGGGAACCAGAGAAGTCAGTAGTTTCAGAAAGAAGCCAAATGTTAGAAATGTAACTGGTATTAAGCAGAGAAAATGGTTAAAGCAGGGTAAAGTAGTTGGAACACTGACGACATTTAAAATACAAAGGGGTTTAGCTGCAAAATCCTGAAGTAGCAAAAGATGGGGAGTGACCAAAAGGTCTTTTCCATGTCTGGTTTCATGGCTGTGATTCCAGGAGGTGCTGAAAACCTGAAGCTCTGCCTGGAAGGGAATAAAACATTGGAGAGAGGAGCAACAATGGAGGAAGTGTCCGAAGCCATAAAAACTTTGAGATCAGGTAAGGCTCCAGGTCCTGAGAGCATCACAAATGCTTGAAAACATTGAAAACTAACACGAATTTATAATTTTTAGAAGGATTCTCTTCCACTTCAGATTTTTTTTAAAAAAAGATGGAAAATGATCCTGCTTTGAGACTTCCATTTATTCCTTCTTATCAAGGAAGTAACAGGAATATTATTAATCTTATTTATAAATGTAGACTTATCTCACAAACTTGCTGTTTTCCATCACAGACTGACAGTTGGGCATGAAAGTATTGGCTGTAGACCTAAAGGCCTGAAGCCATTAATATAGAAAGTCAGAATGCTGTACACAGAGTCTCTTGATGCTGAAAACACAGGCAGTGAATTCAGAAGGCTTTTGTGCAATGAGTAACATTTTTTGGTAAGATTTGGCGTAGATGAAATCTAGTTTTTAAAAATTAATAGGCTTTGCAAACTCTTCCATAAAAATTCACTCCTTTGATCAAACAGTCTATCTGATTTGCAACAGTCCTACATATACTAATGTTTGGTAGGCAAGATTAAAATATATTATGTGCCATCCTACTTTAACTTTTAAAGATTTGTTGTAAATACCCACACATACATAAATAAAGATTCTAAGTTAATCTGTATTTGGTTTATACTGCTACAGTCACTCTAAATATAAAGAGTGATTTACACTTACTCAGTTGAGAATAGAAGCAGGTCCATGCATTTAATATGATAAAGCTGCAAACACACATGCTGGTACAAATATTAAGCCTGACACTGTTCTAGCCTTTTGAGAACGCTGGGGAAAAAATCTAGTCCACTGAGAACCACACAGTCTGTGATTATGAAGTAATGAAAAGATTAAAAGTGCTGAAGGAGATAACATTGCTTTAAAGAAATTCTTCCTTCCCTTCGTCTTTCAACAGGGAGCTTTCGAAAGTCTGAGGACTGATTGGCAAAACCAGCATCTTCCACTGCAGGACCTCAGCAGTGGGCCTTTGGACCAAGCAAGAATACACTGAGTGTGTCCAATCCTGCCTCTGCAAAGAGCAAGAGCAAACACTTCTTCAAGTTACTCAACACTGTTCACTCCAAGGGCCCATCAGAACTCTCTGCATAGCCTACCTGCTTCTTCTGCCTGAGTTTCTGTCCCTAATCACTATTACCTTAGTTAATCTCTACCATGATTGGTATTCTTGGGAAAAAAAAAAAAAAAAAAGCTAATAAATCTTCGCTTCTCTCTGATGCAACCAAAAGCAATGTCTGGGAGAAATTTCCTTTAGCAGACATTTTTGTTTGAATCAGTTACAAATATCAAGCTCTACGTGTGGAATACACAATACCATGGCAGATTATGTGCAAGACCCAAAAGTTTTCAGCCACATACTCACCAATTAAGGCTAACTGGGCAAAACTTTGAAGAACACACTACCAGGTACAATGCTCCGGTAGTGCCTGCAATGGGAAAACTAACAGTCAAAAAACCTACTTGTT